TTTGATTTAATGTGTTTCAGTAAACAAAAGAAGGATTCCCAAAGGATTACATTGAGACTCTCAATATCAGTATGTTTTGAATGTTTGTCTGCCATTTTCTTGTAATATGTCACTACGGATTAAAGTGTTTAATAAATGTATCTGCAAGTAAACAGCTAATTACTCAAGCTGACCAAATTCCATATATTTACTTTGTTATTCCTTCTGTAATATTTGAAATGTAGTTTAACAAAGAAGTGTTAGAATTTATGATAGAAACGCCTGTTACAATGAAGGTAATATCATATGTCTTGAATAGTTTGCACTACACAAACACACAGACACATCTTACCTACAGAAATCACTGTCACAGTGGTAGTTTGTGCCTGGTTGTGAGACTTGCTGTTAGGTTTGCGCTCAGACACAGCACACTGGTACACTCCTGAATCAGACAGTGTGACCTCATCAAGCTCTAAGGTGAAGTTGTCAGTAGCTGGACGCATCACCCTCACTTTGCGACTCACGAACTCCTCTGCTATCTCTGTAACACCCTCCTGACTTATGCTGATGATCTCAGTGAACGAGGCCATTCGTGCTGATTTGAGTTGCCAGGTGACAGAGAGTTGACCTTGAACCCCATCCACTTTACAGGAGAGATGCAGCCCGCCCCCTTCGGTGACATTTCCTGCCTGCTGCATTTTGATTGACAGCCTGTTTTCTGTGAGGGGATGAGGCAACAGAAAGAGTTAATAACGTTCGATAAAATTAACCTAGTGTATTGGAACTTACAGGTTCCTGGCAGAATCAGCAGTATTGAGAATAATGGGTGTATTAGTGGGAGGTGCTGAGGTAACAAAAGGCTGTGCACCAGGTGTGGTAGGCCTTTGTCTTGTTCAGTGAACGAGGTTGATTAAATACCGTCCTCATCTTTGTGCAGTAAATGCACTATCAGCTAGATGAGTCACTTTAGCAGATTAATTAATTAATAACCTGGGGCTGGATGTTTCTTTTAGAGGTATGTCATAAACTTTAAAAAAAATGAAACAAAGCAAGCTGGTGTTAGTGAAGTACCTGTTGACCCATTTTGTTATTTTATTGATGCAAATTTATGTTAAAGCCCTTCCTCAGGAACCTTAACCTGTAGCTGGCTGAACTGTGGGGATTTACATGTTTAATTATTGAGCATATTTGTAGCAATGCAGTCGTGTATGATGTGTTAATGCTATGCGTGATTCTAATTATTCCTTGCTTCTGTTTCAAATTCCAGTCATGTGCCAGTTATTATCCACTGGAGTTTTTAAATGGTTTCTATTTTAATTTTTTTGTTTTAGATATTGTGTTAGTGATTTTAACCCTGGTCCTGCTGTTTATTTAATATTTATTATTTATCTGTATATTTAAGGTTTCCTGGTAGCAGCTGGTGTGCTCACTGGGAGTGGTCAGGTGTTAGGTCAGACCTGGTGAGGTGATGGAATTGAGTGTAGTGGGTTTTGGAGTGTGATAACTGAGTTAATAAGTAATCATTTTAATAGTGCTTCACACTGTGCCACAACCTCTGTATGTGCCCTTGTCAAGTGAATTTTAGTAGGACCAGTGGATGTAGTCAATGAAGCTACTTATAACAACAGTTGAAGTGGATATTTTGACTGCAGTGTTTGTCACAACTTCTTCACTCCTCTCTTTGGGAGCAGACAAACAATGTAAAGGTACAGTGACTTAAACCCCTGAATAACTGAGTGTGTATGTGTTCACTTTGACACACCTGTGGCTGAGATGCTGACCCGCTGTGGGCTGGAGTCTTTGGCTTCTCCCTCAA